CTCCTCCTCCTCGAGGCCCTCCGTCGGCCGAAGCAGACAGGGCATCCAAGGAGACCCCCCTCGGGATGCGCAGGAGCATCCAGCAGGCGCGAAGAGCACCAGGGCACCCTCCCTGAACCGACCTCGATCTCATACCTCGGTCCGACTGTGCAAAAGTGATGGGCCCAAAAATGAATACCTGTCCCGCCGACATGCGACGCCTCTGCTGAGCAGCCCACGCATTTGGGATAGATTCGACGGGGAAATGAATTCTGGGGTAAACCAATGTTGTAGTCGATCCCCTACTCGAAAATCGAGAATCTCTGAGACCTGGCGGCTCTCGAGGATGTCTCGGGCGCCGCGGCCTTCGCAGAGCGTTCCGGAGCGCCCTGAGAGCGCTCGGAAACGCTCCAGAGCGGATCCGTCCTCGTCGTGGCCCCCTCCGTGGCGGCCGCCGGCGACGGCGGCGGCGGCGGCGACGGCGCCGGACACGGCGGCGGCGGCGGCGGCGGCGGAGTGCGGAGATGTCGATGAGGCCTACGACGCCTCAGAGCCTGGCGTGCGTTGCCATTTCTTCGCCACGGGCGTCTTCGCCCAATTTTGGGGCCCGGGGGCCCCACAGATCGATCCGGGGAGTGCTGTCCGAAGCCTCCTTCGAGTTTCGGGGCCCGGGGTGCTTTCCACGAGCCGCGCCTCGTCGAGATCGTTCGGGGGGCGCCCGAATCGTCCAAGAAGGCCGCATGAGGCCCGAGTTATGGCCCGAAGGCCAACTGGTGAAAGAAGAGGGGAGGGGACAGGCTAAGCGCGCTTCCGCCATGTTTGACACCCTGCCCCTCCCACCCATCGCTTCCCACTGCGATGATGTTTTCTTCGATGCGCGGACGCATGTCACAGCGGGCCTGGAACTCCCAAGAAGACCCTATCCTGTTGTGCACAATCGGGGACAGGAGTTGCGTACGTAAGAGGACGGGGACAAGGAGGAGGTGGAGGATGAGCAGGAGGATGAACAGGAGGAAAAGGAAGATGACACAGGAGGAGGACAAAGACGAACAGAAGCAGCGGGAACTGGAGCAGACTGAGCGGGAGGAGTCGGAGGAGGACGACCGGGGGAAGGCGGAGGAGGGGAAGTGGTGGGGGCGATAACGATGAGGAAGGACTCGGCTTCCGTCAAGTGGCCTGCGCTGGGGCGAGAGCACCGTGATGACCGGCGGGGGGCACAGCGCCGATCCCAAAATGAGGCCCACGCCGCAGCGGCAGCACCACAGGAAAGGCCAAGTCGTGAAATCCGGGGGAAAAAAGAAGTGCGCAGAGGGGGGCGGGCTGCTCACTGGCCATCTTCGGGAGATGGAAGAGAGCAGTACTCAGATTGAGTAACTGCGGGTGACAGGGAGGGGGGAGGAGGGAGGGGGAGGGACGAGAGAGGTGGGAGGAGGGAGGAGAAGGAGGAGGAGGAGGAGGACGACGACGACGACGACAACGACGAGCAGCAGCAATGGGAACTGGAGTGGAAGGAGTGGGAGGAGTCGGAGGAGGACCAGGGGAAGGCGGAGGAGGGGAGATGGGGGCGACAACGATGAGGAAGGACTCGGATCCAGAAAAGTATCCCGCGCTGGGGCGAGAGCGCCATTCTGGACGACGGGTGCAAAGCACAAATGATACGCATGTACGTATATATTCCATAAACAAGCAAGCAAGCAAGCAAGCAAGACAGCAAGCAAACAAACAAACAAACAAACAAACCAGCATAAAAAAAACGACAAGCAAATGTAGCGGCAGCACCATATATATAATGTAATGTCATATCATGTCAGCTAGATTCTTTCTCTACAACAAGTAGGGAGGCCACTCACGGGCCATCGTCGGGGGAGAGAAGAGAATTGCATCCAGATTGAATAACGGTGGATGACATGGAGGGCGGAGGGGGGAGAGGGGGGGACGGGAGAGGAGTGAGCAGGGAGGAGGGAGGAGGGGTAGTAGGACAAGGAGGAGAGGAGAAGGGGGAGGAGGAGGAGGAGGAGACGGAGGAGGAGGAGGAGGAGGAGAAGGATGAGGAGGAGGAGGAGGAGGAGGAGGAGGAGACGGAGGAGGAGGAGGACGACGACGACGACCACGACGACGTCGACGACGACGACGACGACGACGAGGACGACGACGGCGAAGACGACGAAGACGACGACAATGACGACGACACCGACGAAGACGAGAGCAAGGAGGACAAGGAGGAGGGAGGACGGCGGGAACTTCGCGCCCACCTCCCTCCTCGCCCCTCGCCTCCCCGTCTTCCTCCCTCCCCCTCCTCCCCGTTGAAAAATTCAGAGTGTCTCCTGAATTCTCTGAGAAGATGTCAGGCCCTCCCACAAAAACTCCAAATTCGTCCAACACATTCCGCGAACGCCCGAGGACCTACGACGGCCACGCGAAAACTTACACTAACACCTTACGAACACCCATCCGCAAGCCGCCGACGTCCTAACACATCATCCTGATGATGATCATCATCACCATCCTCATCATCATCATC